TAGTTCGGGTGTTTGGTACTTGGTGTGTATGCAGCAAGGGCAGGTATACAGTGTCTCCTGTTGCCACAGGTATCGCAGGCTTACATTCTACTGACATTTCTAGTCACTCACTGTGAGCCAAGGAGTCCTCATCATGAAGCTCATCTGCTAACTAAAAGGTCGGTAGTGCAAACCTACCTGCTGTTCTGCGGAAGAAAGACATGGTCATCTTCTGTAAAGATTTACAGACTTGGAAACCCTACTGTGTCCTGTGAGTTGGAATCTCCTCCACACTATCAGATGGGTTTGGTTTTTGACTGTGAGTCAGTATTATGTTAAAGGTTTCTGTTGGGCTTAAGCTCTTGAGTATCCTCTATTTCTCTCTGCCTTGACTTTGCCTTATGACCTTGGATAAGTCTGAGTTTCTTTGTCAGTAAAACTGATGAGGATGGCTAGGGCACTTTCTAGCTTCAAACGCTTATGATGATGTGTTTTGATGAGTTCTGATACCAACATTCCTGCTAATTCTTGCTCTCTAGGAAAAAGCTAAAAGCAGATTATCAAAGTCGAGTTTCACAGGAAGCCTGCTGGGTTTTAGTGCAACCTTGTGAATACTTTAGAAACATTTATTGGCCTGCAGGTGATACACTCCCTCAGCTTGTTCCAGAGCACCATGACAAGTTTGTGTATTTGATGGTAAGAAGCAATACAGATCCTGCACTAAGGGGCAATTGGGTGTTTTTTATATTACTAATTTCTTTCTTTAAAAAAAAAAAAAGTTATTGTTGTTGTTGTTAAGTGCCAGTGAGTCAGTTCCGACTCATAACTACCCTGTACAGGATTTCCGAGGAGCAGCTGTTAGTAATACAGTGTTTATCCTACAGTACCACCCAGGACTTTTTTTCAATGGGCCTGGTTATTTTGTGCTGAGTTTGTATGATCAGGACCTGAGAGAGGCAGGGTTGTCCTACCCAGTCAGGAGACCTGTGTTCTAACTCACCAAATGACTTGAGGTGCCGTTGCTAGGAACTACCGCCTTACAGCAGGTGAAGCAGTATTATCTGTTGCTATTGTTAGCTGCCATTGAATTGATTTGGACTCCTATGGGTCCATTTAACAGGATAGAACTGGCCTATAGGGTTTTCTTAACTGTTTTCATTGTGGAAGCAAAATGCCATGTCTGTCTCCCCCAGAGCCATTGGATAAATTCAAACCACTAACCTTTTGGTTAGCAAGTAAGTTCTTAACCATTGTCCCACCAGGGCTCCTTAATATGATCTGTAGGCAATTTAAAAACTAACTAAAAGTCAATTTGCTTTTTAGTATCACCATGTCTGAGCAATTGTAAACACTATCAGTGAGGAAACAGTCCTTTCTGGCCTCTCCTACCACCCCTCTAAATCCCCTACTTCTTGGTTTGCCACAACCTAGAAAGGAAAAAAAAAAAAGACTGGGCTATCTCTTCTGCAGGCCTTGAAAATGGGAGAGTGAGTCTTGTCCTTGTGCAGTTTCCGGCTGTCCCTGCCAGATAGCAGCTGAATTTCCCCTAACTGCTTTCACCAGGACACCTCAGACAATGTCCTCTCTGGGCTGTGCCCATCCTTTCTGACCACACAAATGGCTTTCTATCCTTAACCTTCAAACATTTCACTACAATTGGTCGTCTTCGCTCCTAAAAGTGAGGATACTTCATGGATATGTGATCAGTGCCGTCCCACCAGGCCCTGTACTGAGAAGGGAGCCCTGTGTTTGGTAATTTGTACTTTGTGGTAGCTGCCTTGTAATCCTTCATCATTTCATTTTGGACTTTGTGTTTGTAAGTGGGTGAGGGCAGGATGATGGGACAGTGGTGTACCTGAGGTTTTGGAGCACCGGCTCACGTAATCATGCCTATTCCCGTCACCACCCTACCTGCTTTAAGCAACGTTCAAACAAGGGTCCCGCATCTCCATTTTGCACAGAGCCACCCTCATTTCTACCTCTGACTCACTGCACCCAGTCCTCACTTCCACCGTGGAGAGGGGGCAAACACTGACAAGAAGGGCCTCCTAGTCCTGGAATATCTAGAATATAGGGAGTAATCCATGTCATGTCATGAGGAACATGATGCCTACCATGAGAGGCAGTCAGAAAACATGCTGAGGACACGAGGGCAAAGGCAGGCACACTTGCTGCTGCTGAGGATCTTGAGAGAGCTTTATAGAAAAGTTCATTTTAGAACCAGACACCAAAGAACGGGTCAAATTTCAACAGACGTGGTGAAAGTGTGCAAGGTGAAGGAACAACACGTGCACATGGGTCATAAAGCTTATTCAAGTAGCAATGAAGAGTGAGTGTGGCTGGAGTTTGGATGTGTGTGTTAGGGATGGAGGGCAGTTATGGCATGAGCCCAGTTGTAACAAGAAAAGGAAGGTGAGGGCCAGAGTAAGAAACACTCCTTCTATGCTCTTACTCTCCTCTTCTTTAAACTGCAGTTTGGGGTTTCCAGAGGGCATCATCACGCTTAGGAGACAGTCAGTGAAAAGGAGGAAGACCTTCAACAAGATGGATTGACAGGGTGGCTGGCTGCAACAATGGGCTCTAACATCACAACTGTGGGGATGGCACATGACACGGTGGTGTTTCATTCTGTTGTGCATAGGGTTGCTATGAGTCAGAATCAACTCAACGGCACCTCACAACAGCAACATAAGTGAAGGAGTTGAATTCGATGCTCTCTTTATGTACTCTTTTACTTCTAATACTCCTTAGTTCTGTATTCAGACTACCACCATTACAGACTCTTCAGTGTTCAGCCCCAACCCATTGACATCATCCATCATTCTTCCCATCAGCTCACCCTTGTAATTACCTCACTAATATATGGACTCTTATTCTACCTGGGACCTCCTCCTACTAACCAGACTTGATTTATTTCCTCTGAGCAGATATCCTGTGTATTCTTAACTTACAGTGGCTGGGCTTTGGGGGAATTTAATAAATTGTTTCTTGATAGGTTCTTAGTCCCAAATGATTCCTTCGCAGCTGTGTTCTCTTTCTTTTGTGGGTGTAATTCTAGTGGCATGTACACCATACTTATTGTGGTGTTGGAGTTTCACTTTGTTGGGTCTGCAAAAGTGAAAGAAATGTCACTTGCATGCAGAGTGGGAGAAGGATCAGCTACCATTTTCCTAGGATAATATGATTCCTGGAGCAACTCCAGGGTTGGGCAGCAAAGCTAGACTCCATCCCTAAGCTTTAACCTTGAAGGGGTCATTTGTCTAGAAGGTTAGTTCCCATGGAAGGAGAATGGTTCTCTTATCACAGAGGTGGCCAGGATCCAGGAGGAGGAAATTTGGGCAAGTTGCCTGCAGCGTTCTTGGCCTTTGGGAGCAATAGTGGGAAAGACAAGATTGTCTTGTTTGAAAAGACAACTTAGACCAGACTGGAAAGAGGCAGCAATTGGGAACCCTGGATTGTGTTAGCACTGGCAAGCTCAGACACAAGTACTTCATAAGCAAGACTCCTTTTCTATTTCTTCTATCAGTTTTGTTTATTTCTCTTCTCTTTTCCCTCTGGATTTCATATTGTCTTTCTGAAAATACCAAGGAGAGCCAGGGGAAAGTTTTTTATTTTCCACACTTAGACAGAGATTTAAAGAGGAAATGATGGACCCCTGGGGCCAGCAAGGTGGCAGCAATGGCAACTGAAGAGCAATTACTTCAAGAGGAGGATGGATTATAGGGTAATGGTTAGGATCACTAGGTCAGATACCCCTCCCTACCTGCAGAGAGTCTCCTTCCCATGCTAACTTTCAGAAAATCTGGGGTTTGCTCTACAGAGGGAGTGGCTAGTGAGGAAGGTGTCTCGAGATCAGCCCTATAATTCCCCAAGGACTCAACGGAAGCCCTGTGTTGAGATTCTACTATGGCAACAGACTGAGAGTGCTGGTGGGGTAAAATGCCATTTAAACAAGGAGATACAGAATTAGAAGCATAACCACTAGAAGGGAAAAAATAATGTATGGACATTTTTGAAAATTTTAATGGAAAATTAAAGGAACCCAAGCAAGAAAAAAATCTCTCAACAGTGAATCTTTCTATTTGGGGCGAGTTAATTTGAGCTGGTTGCCGCTGTGCCTTCACCTTGTGCAGGTAGTGCTCTCAGCAGGGCTGCATTTGGGGAAGAGGGTCTCTGGGATTGATGGGATCCGTTGGGTGTCTTGGAGAAGCCTCTCCATTGGAGAGCCCAGCAGATCACCCTGAACCTGGAACCCTTCCTCATTTACAAGGGCAGGGACAGAAAGCAGACTCCACCAGGTGTGGTCTAGCCAGAGATGAGCCCTCTTGGTGTGCTTCTTTGATAGAACTCCGGGCTGCCTTAAGGAAGGCTGCTACTGCTGCTGTTGACCAATGAAGGGAAATGCATACTCATCATTCTCAGGTCTAATGTCCTCGTGGTATGCCAAGGTGGCCTATGTGTCCTTCCAGGCTAGAGTGAGACTGAGAGAAGCAAAAGGACATCATCCATACATCACAGGAGGCTGTGGGATAAAGGTGGCATGGAGTGCAAATGTTATTTGTCTGGCCTGACAACCTGAAAACCATTCTCCATTTCTGCCTCTGGTTCTCTTTGTGGCCTGGGTCTTCGGATGAGTGTCTCAGTCTTGTATAGTGCAGTTTTCTCCATTAATGTTTTCGGTTTATTTGTTTAGAAATCTCTTTCTCTTGTTTACAATACACACTCTCATTCACGTGTGCAAACACTCACCTTTCCAGGCCACACAGCCACATTGTCAATAGAATAGTGGAGGTGAGTGCAGTTGGAAGCCTGAGAGAGAAAGGGGCAATTGCAGAGGATTCGTGTTCCCGCGGGACTAGGGAAGAACCACTCTTCACAGTGTCCAGAGAGAAGCTCTGTTGCTTACCTAGGAGGTTTTGCCTTACCCACTCAGAGGGATGTTCAGTCTCTGATAGCCAGACCCAGAATGACATGGACTCAGCTGTCACAGCCTGCTATTAACACCTGTGTTTCCTTTTCAGATCTTACAGGTGAACAAGGTGATGTCCATCTTGTTTTATGTGATATTTCTTGCTTATCTCCGTGGCATCCAAGGTAACAACATGGATCAAAGGAGTTTGCCGGAAGACTCACTAAATTCCCTGATTATTAAGCTGATCCAGGCAGATATATTGAAAAACAAGCTCTCTAAGCAGATGGTGGACGTTAAGGAAAACTATCAGAGCACCCTGCCGAAAGCTGAGGCCCCTCGAGAGCCGGAACAGGGCGAGCCCGCTAAGTCGGACTTCCAGCCAGTGACCGCCGTGGACACAGAATTGCTGCGACAACAGAGACGCTACAGCTCCCCGCGGGTCTTGCTGAGTGACAGCACCCCGTTGGAGCCTCCCCCCTTGTATCTCATGGAAGATTACGTGGGCAGCCCAGTGGTGGCGAACAGAACGTCCAGGCGGAAAAGGTACGCGGAGCATAAGAGTCACCGAGGCGAGTACTCGGTATGTGACAGTGAGAGTTTGTGGGTGACAGACAAGTCGTCGGCCATCGACATCAGGGGACACCAGGTCACGGTGCTCGGGGAGATCAAAACCGGCAACTCCCCCGTCAAACAATATTTTTATGAAACGAGATGTAAAGAAACCAGGCCTGTCAAAAACGGTTGCAGAGGGATTGACGATAAACACTGGAACTCTCAGTGCAAAACATCCCAGACGTACGTGCGAGCACTGACTTCAGAAAACAATAAACTCGTGGGCTGGAGATGGATACGGATAGACACCTCCTGCGTGTGTGCCTTGTCGAGGAAAATCGGAAGAACATAAGTTGGCATCTCTCCCCATATATAAATTATTACTTTAAATTATATGATATGCATGTAGCATATAAATGTTTATATTGTTTTTATATATTATAAGTTGACCTTTATTTATTAAACTTCAGCAACCCTACAGTATATAAGCTTTTTTTCTCAATAAAATGAGTGTGCTTGCCTTCTCTCGGGCCTCTCCCATCTGTTAAACCTTGTTTTGTGATCCAGCTTGTGCTAACCTCACTGTAAAATCTGTGTACACCAGTGTTTTGCATTCAGTATTGTCAAGGCCATGACTGTCATTTTAGTAAACTTGTTTAAATCAGATGATGTCAGAGTTGTGTATAGACACAGTTGTATACCATCCTGGTATAACTCATGTTTGATTCGTTCATTCAGTGAACTGTTTTCACCCCTATTGAAAACGATGCCCTATAGCTTTGAGCCCAAGGCTTCTTTGTGGCCACCAAGCTCACTGTTACGTTCTGACCTTTCTGGGTTGCAGTTTTGCCAATGAGAATAATGATTTGCTCCAACGTTATGGTCCTGGAACAATATCAACAAACTTGGCAATTTTCGTTTTGGAAGTTTCTTTTCATATTTGTTGTTTTGGGGTTTGGGGTTGTTTCAGGGTTGGAATTTTTTAAATTTTGGCTTTGGTTTTTGTTTTGTTTTTTGTAAGTGGTTTTCATCCTTTTAGATACTCAGGAAAAAAATGTGAATTATTTGTAACAATTTTATGGCTACCCAGAAGCACACTGAACTGGATCATGAATAATCTATACACAGAGGATCGACTGACTCCTAAGGACCCTCTTTGTGCAAGTCCTCCCCTACTCTCCCAGCACCCTGTCCTAGAGCTGCTGTATGGGAAAGTGCTCAAGCTCTGGAAGCAGACCTAGGTTCAAATTCCAGCTCCTCCCCTTAATCTTGGACAAGAATTCTCAGTCTCTGAGCCTAGGTTTCCTGAGGTCAGAGTCAAATGGGGATGAATGCTTACCTCACAAGGTTGCCATGAGGATTCCATTAAATCACTACTATAAATTTTTCATTACATAGTAGGTATTTGAAGGAGCACTGGTGACTCAGTGGATTAAGGTCGGCGGTTCAAACCCACCAGCCACTCCATGTGAGAAAGTTGAGGCTGTCTGCTCCTGTAAAGATTTGCAGTCTCAGGAACCCTATAGAGCAGTTCCATTCTGAGGGGGCCGCTCTGAGTTAAAATCTGTGTGAGGAGCAGGAAGTTCCTTCTTCTCTCTGATCCTCTTCTGTCATAGGTATTTTGCTTCTCTGTATCCCTTGATATGTAAAGGACTTCTTGATACCTGCTGAGTCCTAGAAATGGTCCTAGACAGCCCTGGGGTAATTGGGCTGATGGCCAGAGTTGTCCTGCAGGCAGGATTGGGGTGGATACTATTGATGTTCCCTGAGTTGTTTGGTGACCCCATTTTCTCACTTGAAAGTGGTCCTTTTCCTTCTGGCTGGAACATAAGGAATGCCGTCTTCCATCCTGTCTGGAGGTGCACGGTGTCCACTAAGGAAGCTACAGCCAATGCTTTGAAACCCTGTTGTGTGTATTGCCTGGCTGCTGTGCCTTCATCTAAGACCCTGTGTGCTATCTCTAAGATCCCTGGCTGGTGCAAACAGTTTACATTGGACTACTAACCAAAAGGTTGGCAGTTTGAGTCAGCCTAGCAGCACCATGGAAGAAAGTTCTGGTGATCTATTTCCATAAGATCACAGCCCTCAGAATACCTATGTAATAGAGTTCTGCACTGATACACAGGGAGGCGCTGTGAGTGGGAATCAACTGTGCTTTGGTTCTGTCTCTATCAAGACCATTTGTAGGCCAGGCTCTCTCACATGCACCTGTATGAAATATGTGCCCTCTGAGTGGTATGAACCTTTTGAGACAAACTCAGCAGATAGCAATGACTTTGATTAAAAGCATCATTACTGTACTCGATTCTGAATGCCTGTACTATGGGGGCAGGCAACGAGGAGTTGACTGCATGCCCACTATGTGACAGGTACTTTTAGACACTGCCATCATTAATTGCCGTGCACCCTTTGAGGTAGCCACTACCATCATCCTATCATCTGCATTTCACAGGTAAGGAAACTAAGGCTCAAGAACTTACCCATATAGTCATTTATCAGGTAAGTGGAATAGTGTAGGATGAAAGTAATATTTGAAAGATGACACAATCCTGTTGCCTTCATCTCCTTACCCATAACAGTATTGCATTGCAGAATGAGCATTACTGTCTAACGAGAAATGAAAAGTGTTGTCTCCACATGGGAATCTGCTGTAGCTGCCGTGTTGCTGGGCTGACATCAAGAACACGACAGAACAGCTCACAGAATAAGAGAACTCCTAAAGGAGCTCTGGTAGTGTAGTGGTTACGAATGGGACTGCGAACCTTAAAGTCAGCAGTTTGAAACTACCAGCTGTTTCGTAAAAGAAAGATGAGACTTTCTGCTCCTGTAAAGATTTACAGCCTTGGAAACTCTGCACAGGGTCGGAACCGACTCCACGGCACATAACCAACCAAAGGTAGACCAGAGTGCTGGTGTGGCACTGTGGGCTAATGTGTCAGACTGCAAAGTTGTTTGAACTGCAACATTGGTGGTTCAAGCTCACCAGCTGCTCTTTGGAAACGCTATGCAGGGTCGCTATGGGTTGGAATCAACTCAACAGCACTTAACAACAACAACAAGGTACACCTGAACCCAATTCTCGGAGAGAGTGCATCATTGAATGTTGACAAAGAAGAAAATCCTTGGACTTCCCATGGGAGTACAGCCAGACTTCCCCCACCTCCTTCCTTCCCACCACCCTCCCAGATGCATCTAAAGCACTTGGACAGGGACTACTTAAACAGCATCTACAAGAGTATAACAAGTAGTTTCTGGGCTAAAAAGAAAGAAAATTGCTGTTGAGTTGCTCCAACTTATGACGACCATCTATGTGTCAGAGTAGAACTGTGCTCTGTAGGGTTATCAGTGGTTGATTTTTTATAGGTAGATTGCCAGGCTTTTCTTCTGAGGAGACTCTACATGGATTAGAACCTCCAATATTTTGGTTAGCAGCTGAGTATGTTAACTGTTTGCAACACTCAGAGACTTCAATGTCTAGGTACAAGGACCTAAAAGTGGCAGCTCTGTGATCCTGACGAAAGGTGGGTCCAGGAACATTTGAGAGAACCTGATAAATAATTGCCGGAAAGCCTACCTAATCTTCTTCCTAGAACAGAGCCTGCAGTTAAACTGTTGTGTTCCTCTTCTGGAGCTTATCCTAATGAATCAAGAGCCTAGTTGACTGGAGAAATGGGCCGGGCCTCCACCTGGGAAAGCACTATCTCTAAGTGAACAGGATGAGCTTGCTTGCATGTCCTGAGTGAGTCTGGAGTAGCAGGTTTCCAGGGTAAGGGTCGTTCAGATGAGAAAGTGAACCTGGAAATAAGATGCAAACATTCCTGAAAGGAACTGTGGCCTGGGACCGTCTGAGGTCTGGCCAGGCCCATTCAGAGTGGCAGGGCAGTGAAGTGTTATCCAGTTCCAGGTCAGTAATTTTATAGGCATCAGAGGTCATTCAAGGACTGCCAAAGTCAACATACTAGGTCCTTCTCAGGGGCCTAGTTCTCTCCACACTTACAGTTCTCACAGGCTGGAGGTTAAACTCATATCTGGCCAGGAGGCCTGTGGAGAGTATGTGTCTAGGTCCTGGAAAATCAGAGAGGTGTGTTGAAGTACAAAGACCCTGACTGGGTTCTGGCTCTGCTTTGCTACCTGCAGGACCTTAGCTAAGTCTTATACTCAGTGGGCTGTTAGCATCATGGAATTTCTATTATAGAGAAGGAGCATGTCCTTACTGCATGGTACTCACTTCCTTCATGAATGTGATAGTTAAGAAATCTCCTGGTTGTTGGTGGAAGCTTCTCTCTTTTCCCTCATAAGCCTCTAAGGCTTTCCCATTTACAAACATGTAAGGGAACCTCTCAGATTTTCTCTCCTTTTCTGCAAAACAGGGGTGGTGTCCATAAGATTATTCTGTGACGCAATGAAATCATTGAATTCCTGGCATGTCAGCCTATCCATGTATCCACCAACACCGTGACCCTGCTGGTATTTAAAATACTTATTGACATAGCTTCCAGCACCATACCAACACATCTGATGGACAGGTTTCAGTGAAGCTGCCAGACTAAGACAAGGAAGAAAGTCCTGGTGATCAAGTTCCAAAACAATGACCAGTGAAAACCTTATGAATAACAACAGAATATCTAGCTCTGGAAGGCACTCATGATACATGATGGGTTGAAGGGCACTCAGAATACATGATGGCAGCAACAACAGACTCCAGCTCACCAACCATAATGAAGATGGCCTAGAACCTGGGAACATCTCAGTCCATTGTGCAAGGCTCCGGGGACTGGGAGCTAGCTCCAGGGCAACTAATAACAACAGAACGCATTATAATGATAAAGGTGCTTAGTACTTCGTTTTTTGTTTGGGAGTGGGGTCTGTCTTGCCGAAACACTAATTCTGGAATTTCCTAGCTCCAAGGTGGAGGATTAGTCCTAATTAAAGTATGTCAATCACCTACCCTAATGGGAAGCAAACCCCAAGGTAGCCAGTTTGCCCAGTTCCCTCCTGCAGGTCTCTCTAACCAAACCACTGGCCTCATCTTACTGACAGGACGTTAATCCTTTTCAGTTGACACACCAGGGAAGGTATTTCTAACTCCTTCCAAATAGCGAAACTTAATATTTTGCTAGCAATTCTGCCTACGTGATTCTCTGAGTGTGTGTGTGTGTGTGTGTGTGTGTGTGTGTGTGTGTGTGCATGCGCGTGCAAGTTCACCTGTGTTTTCTTGCTTGCTTGCAAGTTTATGAAAAGGCTTTGTTCTCTCTCACACTCTCTACCTTGGGTCCAACAATGCTTTCTCTCAGTTGGTGTTTTAAAGTTTGGAATTTTTTTAAAAGTTTTTTTCTTGTTGTTCCCTTCCCTTCCTTCCTGTGTGTGTGTATGCACACGCATGCGTGTGTGTATGTGTTTTTTATAGTCCATTTAGTCAATGTAAAAACCTTCTACTGAGGCTTGGCAAAACCATCTGCATTTGTTTTATCACCTTTGAACATGTGTTCAGGAATGAAATCTGTGTAGTCGGTTTATGGCCACCTGGAGATTTGTCTGGCTTTCCCAGGAAGATGCATCCACCAGGCTCCAAACTCCAATGACTGGGCATACAGAACTGATGTCAATTTCTCAGTTAGGCCCAGCTTTGCCTAACCAAGCTCCAGCTCTCCTCAGCCACAACTG